GAATATATACATCACCTTTACTTTCACTACAAAAGGCAATGCAAATACGAAGAAAGGAGAGTCAACACAACCTCTTCATCCTCTGGCTCAAAGAGAAGTTCTCAAATGCTCTCAAACTCTCAATTATCCTACTAAAATATTTATAGTTCGAGCTCTTTCTATTTATACATGTAAAAACACCCCAAATTATAGTGGATTCGTTTGGTATCGTCTAAAAAGACTTCTGATTTTTTACCATTTTAATTTTTCACATTAAAATTTCATTTTATTTATTTAAATTTCATTTTTGAATTTATATTGGGTCATCCCTAATAAAATCAATAAAACACAATGGTCCCAACAATTTGACAAAATTGAGGACCAAAGTTCCACAGGGCCGAAGAGCTAAAATGATTAAATCTCGATTATAGGAATAAAATTATCATGAGAAAAGGGTCAAATACACCCTTAAACATTTCGCTAAAGGTCAATTACCCCACAAACTTTTGAAAAGGTCAATTGAACACATGAACATACAATTTTGAGTCACTTGACCCCATTAACCGGTAACTTTTACCTGATGAACCGGTAATTGACACCGTGGCGTGACACATAAGCGTTGGAGTGGGTACTTGGCTGCCACATAAGCATAAAAAAGAATTAAATTAATAAAAACATTTTAAAATCAGCCATAAAGAATTTAACAGATTATATTGTACAGGGCTGATTTTAAATTCTTTTTTTTAATTTAATTCTTTTTTTATGCTTATGTGGCAGCTAAGTACCCACTTCAACGCTTATGTGTCACACCACGGTGTCAATTACCGGTTCATCAGGTAAAAGTTACCGGTTAATGGGGTCAAGTGACTCAAAATTGTGTGTTCATGTGTTCAATTGACCTTTTCAAAAGTTTGTGGGGTTAATTGACCTTTAGCAAAATGTTTAGGGGCCTATTTGACCCTTTTCTCAATTATCATTTATAATTTTAAATCATTAAAGTGTCCGTTAATAAGTTAAGAAGTCAAAATCAATAAAATGTTGGAATAATTATTATTATTATTATTCCATTGCTCATTATTATATTGTATGACTCATAAATATTTATTTATAATTTAATAATGATATAATTCTATGATTGGTCAGTTAATGGTAAATAGCAGTTTTAACTGCATCAGATAACCTCTCACGTTGATGGAACCGTGAGATTATGTTTTAACCATTCTGATTCTCTGGTCCTCTCCCCAAAACAAAACAAAAGTCTCTCTCCATCAGAGTTCTTAGAGAAAGGAATGTTGAAGGTCTGGAGGGAGAAACCAAGTTTCTAGTATAAGCAGAGAACTATGGACCCAGGTATGTTCGTTGAACTCTAATTAAATACCGTATGTAAAAAACATGTGTTCTGAAGATCTTATGTTTTAGGATTAATTTACATGTGGTATCATGAGCCTGGTTGTAGAACATATGTTTTTTCATACATTTATGTTTGCATGTACAATTTTCGTATTGGATGTACAGTTTATATGCTTTTAATGTGTTTAAATATAGGATGGATTACAATACATGCTGCAACCATGTGATTAAGCAAGGATTAACACATCATTAATTAATATACATGCTTTGCAAATGCTTTTGTATGAATGTATATCCACCAGTTCTGTTAACAATTGAAAGATCGAAATTATTATTTCATATATATATATATATATATAAAGACAAAAAACTTTTTTTTTTCTATTTTAAAGAATAAAGTTAATTGGAGTGGGAGTTTGAATGATCATAAAGTTGAACTTGATTCATCTATTGAACTAATTAATCACATGGGAGTCCCTTCAACTTTTTGCATACAGCTGAATTGAGGATCATGAAAATCAATTAGCACATGCAACTTATAATTGAAGTGTGGGGCTATGGGATATTGTGCGTTTGGGTGGCAAAATCCAGATAACTTTGTCTGCCAAAGATACCATACACAATCATCTATTAATATGACAACTTTCATCAACTTATTTAATATATACAAGCATTGGCATTGAATGATTAGATCAAGTAGCATGTGGAGCATACTTCTTATATAGAACAAAGATTACGAGTTTGATTCTTGTTAATACCCTCTTAGTTAAACTCGTCGCACCAAGTCTTCCTACGTACCATAATTTACATCTCTTGTATGGTTTATATATTATTATAGAAGAGCTAGCGTGATTTACCCAGTGCACCTTCAGATAGTGACAACGGGTTTACCATATATAGTTCTGTATCACATTTTTTAGATGTAATATTTGAAATTATTTTATATGAATAATTTATAAGAAATTAGATTATATTTTGGGATATGTCATTAAATTTGAAGGGTAATAACCTGTAAAACAATTCATATTTGATAATATAAGATTAATTTGGTATAAAAAGTAATATTGCATGTGAAAAACATTGCTTTTAAATAAATATAATAAGGTATCAATTTATATGACTTGAATTCATTTGCTAGTTGTCATGAATTAACCAATTTTATTATGAATTAATTAAAGAAAATTTATCAATTCTATAAAATTGTCAATTTCTTACTACTTATTAGAATTTTTTTTTTTTTTTAGAATTTGTTGGGTAGAGGTCTAGATGACCACTATGCAAATATAATGAAAGAAAGTTATTATTATTATTATTTTTTTATGAGTTATAACTTTTGGTGTAGTAGAAGTGCTTAATTATTATGATTGGTATCAAAGGTTATATATAAAAAAAAGTTGAGCGTTGGCTATTAGATATAACTTTTAGTGTAATGGTAATTGTTTAATTTTAACAAATTGTTTTGATAACCATGTTTATATATATATATATATATATATATATATATATATATATATATATATATATATATATATATATAGAGGCGAGTTCAGGTGCGGCAGTGTCTTATGGTGCGGCAACACCAATAATTCAACAAATATGCACCATCAACGTTAGGAAAATACACAACACAAAACAGAGTAAACAGAGCCCTGCATCACCAAACACACACCATTAGGTGTGAGTAAAAACACCCTACACTGTTCGGAAATACACCATTGGGGGTGGTGAGTTATATGGTGTATTTTTTTGAGTCTGTTGTGTATTTTGTGATGTTTTATTGCATTTCATTGTGGTGTGTTTTTATTACGCTGTTGGTTCATATTGTTAACACTGTTGGTGTATTCTGGAATTCCGCCGCACCGCCGCATGGGAAGACCCCACCACATTTGAACTTTATTTTATATATATATATATATATATATATATATATATATATATATATATATATATATATTTCACATTTATGATTTAACATCTCATAATAAAATACCAAGTGGCTTGTAGTCTACTGTTATTGAGTTGCTCCCCTAAGTGAGAGATGTAAGGTTCGAACCGCATTTGAGGCAAATAGTGTGTATATGTAGGGTATCCCCTTCCTTATAATAAAAAAAAAAAACATATCATAATAAAATAATAATGTTTGAATTTAATTTTTGTACGTGTATTTTAAAATATGTTATGAAATAAATTAAAGATGGAATGCTTTAATATATTATATTGTTTCATATTATATATTTATTTTAATATTATCAATTTGTTAGATATTTAAATAGAGAAATATTTCCCTTTTATATTAAATAATAATAATAACAATGGGATGTTGGTGGCTCCACCTTAGATGAATAAGTACGGTAAGTATTGGGAGGACAAAGAATGTTTTAAAAATGAGTAGATATCAGAGTTTTAATTAAATCAGGATATATTGTGTCATTTTTGTAATTACTAGCCATACAAAAAAGGAAAAAAAAAAAAGCCAAATAAGTTATTTTAAAATGCTACTTGGAGGAACATTCAAAATAAACTATTATTTTAAACTCTTAGGTCATACTAAACAAAATTTATAGTTCATTTGTAGTTAAATAAGCTATAAAAATAAGCTATAAGTTCTACAAAACATAGCCTAATTTTCAACGATAAAAAATTTAAAAATTTCAACTTTATATTAAAATAATATAAAATTTGTCTAAAAAAATTGGTCATCAATGCTTTTTTTTTTTTTTTTTTTTTTAAATATTAAAAAAATATTGATTATCAAACTTTTGAGTTTTGAGCATTTTGATAAAAGGAAAAGAAAAAGGGTTAGTTAAATACAGTGATGACATCACATTTTTTTTTTTAAAATCCAAATGTAATAATATGGATAGGTATATGAGTAAGCATTGAAAATGGGAAGAGATAATTTATAAATGGGTAGGTGAGAATATGAAAGCAAGACTATCCGGAGTTTTTTCTTTAACTTTTAAGACGAATATACTTTAATTTATATAAAATAACTTAGCCAACAAAAAGATCACAATTAAGATGATAGTTATTCATGACAGATCGATTCGAGTTTAAAAAGTCAATATAAATTTTAAATGGTTAGTTGAACTTGAAATATTGTAATTATTAATTTAATTGTCATACTAATTTGACTGGAGTTGTTCGCTTTTGAGGCAAAGATACTGGGTTGGGAGAAAGACGTTAGATAGATGAGATAGAATTGGGAGGTTATTGTAAAAAAAAAAAAAAAAACAAAACAAAAAAAAAAACACACACACACACACACAACTTTTGAGAATTTGTAAACAAAAAAAAAAAAAATTCCGCTCACATTACGTCTGATGCATGAAACATGTTCTTCGGAGTACCGGTCTAGCCTCTGTGGTTCATGTTCAGTTGAGTTATCATGATTTACATCCTCCCAAATGCTCTGTTGGGTCGGGGTGTGGGGGGCCCTTAGGGTTGGAGTTCAGCCTTTTGAAAGAATGAAACATGTTCTTTGTGCCTTCAACTTACCTAACAATTGTTTTTTTAATTTTTTTAATTTTTTAATTTTTTAATTTTTTAGTTTGTTTTCCCACTCTTTGTTGACTTGACAAAAAAAAAAGAGTTTTTACCCTTGAGCACATTTTTTTTTTTTTTTTTTTTGAGAAGGTAAACTTAATTCATTAGATCAGAATGGAGAACGTTTACAAGAAAAGATGGGGGGAGTCCAGCCACTCCCCGCAACCTGACAAAGAAAAGGCCTCCCTAGCAACAAAGTGAGCGGCACGATTCGCAGATCGCTTAACAAAATTGAATTCAATATCCTCAATCACGGATGCTAAATCCTTTACATCATCCACTAAATAACCAAATGCAGAATTAAAAGACACGGAACGTATAGCATTGAACACAATTTGCGAGTCCATTTTCACATCCACGCTCCCTAGTCCCGTTTCCTTGAGACAACTAAGAGCCTCCCGAATGCACAAGGCCTCAGCTTCCTTAACCAAGTAATTTCCTGTTACAAGCACATTCTTGGCCGCCATGAACCCCCCCACAATCATCGCGTAACACCCACCCCAACCCCATCCGTCCCTCTCCCTGCCGCACATAAACATCAGTATTGAGCTTACACCTGCCAACTAGCGGCTTCTTCCACTGCACAACATCTACCACCCCAGGCATTGCTTGAACCTGATTCGCCCCACGCCACCCTTCCAGAAAATCAAGGGCACGCTACACCACCAGGGCCGAATTATGCGCAACACCCTTCCAGACACTATCATTCCTGCTTGACCACATTCCCCAGCAAACCATCACAAATCTTGGTAAAGAATCAACATCCAACTTACTAACACACCAAAAAAACCAGTCAGAGATATTATCACCTGCATAGGCATTTAAATGTGGCACACCTAAAAGATTCCAAACCCGTTTGGCTTCGGTGCAATTGACAAAAAGATGGATAGCAGATTCGGCAGCCAATCTGCACATATGACAATCAAGTAAACAGGCTACCCTTCTAGAGACCAAAGCATCTCGCGTGGGAAGGTACGCGGATGCCAACTGCCAACAAAAACATTTTACCTTGGGGGGAACATAAATACTCCATATACTTGACCAAGGCCAATCATCAGAAGCAACCATGGTAATCCGCCTGTAGCAGGACTTGACAGAATACGCCCCTTTCTGATCCCAGTGCCAAGTCCATTGGTCACAAGGCCTACGACAACTAACTGGAATATTCAAAACCAAACTTGCATCACTGGAGTTTTTTTTTGAAAAATAAACAGAACCTGATATATTAAGAACGATTAGAAGTATTACATAGGAAAGAACTCACGTACCGCGGGATACGATCAAAAAACTCAAGTCTATCATCCCCTATGTAAGATAACGCTTTTTTGGCTAAATTATGAGCAAATGTATTATAATTTCTATGCACATAGCGAAATTTAACCCCAGGCATTTGCCGTAGCAGCTCACGGATTTCTTCAACAATGGATCCGAAGGGTGAAATATTAACTCCTCCCGTAACCGCATTCGTCACCATTTGGGCATCGGTTTCTAGCGAGACCCTCCTCCACCCGTTGTGCTTTATCCAGCTTAACGCTTCCCGAGCTCCCATTGCTTCAGCCTCTCTAACCATATACAAGCCCCTCTTGGTAAACATAGTCACCCCAAGAACCTTATCCTCCTCATCCAGCACACCCCATCCAAAGCCCATACGTTGATTTGCATGATCCATAGATACATCTATTTTCACTCTCACCTCACCCGAGACAAGATTGGGTGATTGTGCCCCATTTCGATTTGGCCTAACAGAATGTGTAGTTGACTCTCCCAAGCCTCGGCTATTTCTCCAATTTTCTGCATAAAGCAGCGCATGATGCACCAGAATTTTTGGATCCGAAACAGTTTGCTTCCACAGCAGAGAATTTCGCGCCTCCCATATAGCCCAAGCCACCATCACAACCTGTTCAAGAATTTTATTTGGTAAAACAGCCCACATCTCATATAGCCATGCATTTAGAGAATCCACATAACCCATTTCCCAGTCAGCATTTAAATGGAGCCAGCAATTATGTGCATATTCACAATTCGCAAAAAGATGAGCAACACACTCGTTTGCCTTTCCACATAACACACAGACCGGATCACACTGAATGCGTTTAGTCATTAAGACATCCTTCGTTGGGAGACGCAAGGTACACAGCCTCCAGAAGAAACACTTAACTTTTGGTGGAATTCTTAAGTACCAAAGGCCCCTCCACACGACCCCTTCCCCATGATTCACCTCACCCACCGCCAACCTATATGCACTCTTAACCGAAAACATACCGTTGAGTTCCTTATGCCAATATAACGAGTCACAAACCCCCCCGGGCGGAGCAGGTAGTCTCAGAATACGATCTACATCCCGGTCACACAGAATATCCCTCAAAACCCCCATATCCCACTCCCTTGAGTTCACACATAACAGAGAACTCACACTAGGATTTCCCAAGTATTCTTGTGCCGGAGTGTCAACATATGGATTCGTCTCATCCGGTAGCCACGGATCCCCCCAAATTCTAGCCAAATTCCCATTGCCAATTCTCCATCTAGTCCCCTTCCTAATTAAAGACTGAGTTTCCCGTATACTTGTCCACACAAACGATGGATTGGTCCCTCTCCCTGCTTCAAGAAAAGAGCATTTTTGAAAATACCTTGCTTTGAAAACCTTTGTGACCAAAGCATCAGAATTTGTAAGAAATTTCCACCCTTGCTTGCCCAACATAGCAAGATTCATCTCACGCGCTCTTCGAAACCCCATCCCCCCAAACTTCTTAGGCATACATAAATCACTCCACCTACTCCACCTTATTCCCCCTCGTTCCCTTCTCTCACAACCCCACCAAAAAGAATTCATAATCCTTTCTATCTCACCACTCAGGCCCAGAGGAAGGAGAAACACGTTCATAGCATAGTTAGGGATACTTTGTAGGACAGTTTTCAGCAAGACCTCTCTACCACCCCGAGATAAGAGCCGATTACCCCAATTCATCACCCGATCTCGCAGCCTATCCCGGATAAAGCCCAGAATCTCTCTCTTCTTCCTCCCCACATACCCCGGCAACCCCAAATACTTCCCCCGACCCTGCTGTTCACAGATTCCCAGAGTCCCACAAACAGCCTCCTTATCCTCCCAATGTACATTTCGGCCAAACACAATTGACGTTTTCCTTAAATTCACTTCCTGGCCACTAGCTCTCCCATAATCTTTTAAGACATCATTTAGAACCTCTGCCTCAAAATTGTTTGCCCGAAAAAGGAATAGGCAATCATCTGCGAAAAAAAGGTGAGAAATAGACGGAGCACCCCTTGCTACCCTTAACCCGTGTATCAAACCCTCCTCCTCCCGAACTTGCAACATGGTACTCAGAACTTCTGCTACTAAAATAAAAAGATAAGGGGATAACGGATCCCCTTGCCTAAGACCCCTCCCCGGCACCACTGGTCCCCATTCCTTCCCCTCCACCAAGACAGAATAACGCACTGTCGTCACGCACTCCCTCACCAACCCCACCCAACGATCACTAAACCCCATCTTTACCAGGACTTGACACAGAAACCCCCACTCCACTCGATCATAAGCTTTACTCATGTCAACCTTCAAAGCCCCATACCCACCCCTTTCCCCAGGTTGGCGTTTCAAACAGTGGGCTGACTCGAAAGCAATAAGCACATTATCGACAATTGACCGACCCGGAATGAAAGCACTTTGAGCAGGTGATATAATTGAATCTAGCAACACACGCAACCTAGTAGCAAGGACCTTTGCAAGTATTCGGTACACAACATTACACAAAGCAATGGGGCGAAACTCAGACATCTCTACGGGGGATTTACACTTTGGGATCAAGACAATATGGGTGTCATTCACATGTTCCGGCAAACGACCCGTAACCATAAAAAGATGGACAAAAGAAACTACCTCAGGTCCCAGAATAGACCAGTGCATCTGGAAAAACGCTGGAGAAAGACCATCAGGGCCCGGTGATTTGTCCGGATGCATTGCAAATAAGGCGCCTTTTACTTCCTCTGCCGTGACATCACTTAGCAGGGCAGCATTCTGTTGTTCATCAATACGGGTGCTCAGGCAATCTAACACAGGCCGCACATCACCTTCGGCAGAAGTGAAAAGATTTGAAAAATATTCGACCATAATTCCCCCCATCATGTGTGCATCATTTGTAATCTCCCCAGCCGAATTACGCAAAGCAGTAATCCGGTTCCTTCTCCTCCTTGTATTCATTGAATTGTGAAAAAACTTTGAATTGGTATCCCCCCCTTTATACCACAACTCCTTAGCCCTCTGCCCAAGCCGATCACTTTTATCCCGAAGCATAGACAAGTATCGACGCTGACAGTCCCCGAACAGCCTTAAACCTTCCCCATCCCTTCGACCCCGCAATCTCTCCATCTCCCCTAAACAGAGCCTCATAGCCTCATTCTCTCCCCGATTCTGCCTTCTCCCCCAATTCCACACACCCCTTCCACACACCCGTAATCTATCTCCCATAGGGCACCCTTGAAGCCTCTCCCATTCTCTCTGCACCACCCCTTTACAATCCGGATATCTCCCCCAACTATTTTCAAACCTTGGGCGTCGAGTATAATGTGTCCTCTCCCCAGTATCAAGCGATAAAAACAGCGGCAAGTGATCACTCGTTGTACCCTCCAAAGACCATGCCTGCGCCCGCGGAAATAGATCGCGCCATTCCCCAGAGACTAAAACACGATCCAACTTCTCCCTCACCCACCTGCAAGTCCCTCTCCCCTTTTCCCAAGTAAATTGGCAACCCCCGAAACCAAAGTTGGACAAGCCGCTCTCACGCACTGCCTCCCCAAATCCCCTCAACAACCACCTAGGCTGTGGCACTCGCCCCTCCTTTTCCCAATCCCATAATAAGTCATTAAAATCCCCCATAAGGGCCCAAGGAAGATTATTGAGAGTAGACAGGTACCTGAGTAAACCCCAAGATTCCCGCCGCTGACCCCTTTCCGGAGAGCCATAGAAGCCCGTGAATCTCCAACGCGAATCGTCCCCACCACTCGTAACAATAGTATCAATATAGTGATTCGAATATCCCCTTACCTCCACATCAACCCCCGCACTCCACAGAAGAGCCAAACCCCCACCTCTACCACTGGAATCGACGACAAAACAGTTGTCGTATTTTAATTTCACCCTCACCCTCTCAAGCCGTCTCGTATCACTCCAAGTCTCACACAGAAATAAGATGTTGGGCCGTTTTTGATAAACCAAGCCCGCCAAGAACTGAACTGCCAATGAGTTTCCCAGCCCACGGCAGTTCCAACTTAAGAGATTCATTGGGCCGGGTGGGCCTGATACACAGGGCCCACCTCACAAGAAGTAGAGTCTTGCTGCTCAATAGACATTGGACTAGACCAAGTGCCATTTAAAACTTCGTCCTCACTATCGGTTCTCCTCCGTTTCGCTTCAATAATAACTACCCCCCCCCCACTCTCATGTCCCTCATTTATTTCTCCATTCATTGTGACCCCCCCACTTCCAACCGTTACACCCTCACTTACTACCCCTACTGCACCAACATTCCCGCGTAACAGTTGCTCCCCCATTAACACCCCATCATTTGCATTAATGTCAGCAACCGTTTCCGGCCTTCCCAGATTCCCGGCCCCCGGCTGGTCCTCCAGAACGAGCCACCTGTTTACCGGCGTAGCCGTAGGCCTCCGACCACCCGCTCTCATCCAAGTGCCGAACAATTTCTCACCGTACTGCACCGGCTTATCCGCCGCAACCGGACAAAACTTGTCCGAATGGCCAATGACGCCACACTCAAAGCAAAAGGAAGGAAGACGTTCGTATCGAAGGTCAAGCCAAAACCATTCTCCTCCCGGTTTCTTCATCTTCATCCTGGCTTTCAACGCATTCATAACATTTATCTTAGCCCTGACCCGCATAAAAGCTCGTTCTCCCCCATCAAAATTGCGTTTGTCAGCTTGTTCGAACTCCCCTACATGATTGCCCACCACTATAGCAACCCTCTCTGACATGAAACCCCCTGGTAGATTGTGGACCTGAACCCAGAAAGAGGCTTTATCCAGCGGAACCTCCATTGGATCTTCCCCGTCCACCACTCGCCGGAGAAGAACCAGGTTTTGATCAAAGGTCCAGGGGCCGTCATTTAGAACACGGGATATATCCCTCTCACAGTAGAAAACGAATAGGAATCTGCATTGGCCCAATTCACGAACCATAACTCCTCGCATGGGGCGCCAGGCAGTGGCCATTACATCCCGGAAAATCACAAGCTTTACCGGACGATCCGTAACCACACGGCCCACCGCTGCAAAACGAAGATCGTAGCTAGGTTTCGGGACATCGTCCACCTCGACTATGACCCCATCTTCGTCGTCGCCAATTGCCAACGCCTCACAAGCCTCAGCCAAACCACTCGCCTCCCCCTTCTCCATCACAAGCAACAGGAAAGCCGAAAGACTCTAAACACAGGAAAAAAGCCACTCACAAGGAGAGAGAAAAACACTCGAAAAAACGAGAGAGAATCTTTTTATTTCAATTTTGAGAGGTTAAGCTTTCATCTAGTAGATTGTCAATGCATCACTGGAGTTAAAAATATCATTAACACAATATAAATCCCATCCCGTACCTTGCTCATTCATCAGAGACGAGACCCGAGCTTCATAGATAGACTGGTGCAGCACTGTTTCAACATAAGGATTCTGGTCATCAGGCAACCAAGGATCCAAGCCAATGACCGTGTCAGCCCCATCTCCCACCACCCTTCTACACCCTTCTTTCAGCACCCCTTGTACCGCCATAATACCCTTCCAAATGTAAGAGGGATTACTACCCTCCGTTGCATCAAAGAAACCACACCTCGGGTAATAACGTGCTTTATACACACGAGCCACCAAAGACATTGGCCTAGTTACTAACCGCCAAGCTTGCTTCCCAAGCAACGCTTTATTCATCTCATGCAATCTCCGATACCCCAAACCACCACAAGTTTTCGGCTTACACAACCCCTCCCAAGAGCGCCATCGGATGCCCCGACCCCCCCCCCCCCCTACACTGCCAGTCCACCAATACTGATTCATCAATGTCTCAATCTCACGGCACAACCCTAGGGGTAATAAGAAAATCATCATCGCATAAGTGGCATTGCCTGGATCACATTCTTCAACAAAACCTCCCTGCCCGCTCTCGATAGAAACTTTGCGCTCCAAGAACGAATTTTAGCAAGAATTCGGTCCTTGATGAACCCCAATATCAGTTGAGTTTGCTTTAAGAAGTTAAAAACTCTTCTTACTTAAAAATCATCGAGTCACTATGTTTTATTTTTTTATTATTTTTTAGGTCGAAATGTAATGATTCTGTGAATGAAAAAATTCACTTTTTGAAGATAAAATGAAAAAAATTCTCGCATATGAAATAGAATATAGTATGAGCATTCATCAATTCTTTAGACGTGGAAATTAATAAAGCCAGCTAGTATATTCATCACCACTCCAACACATGCCTTAGCCACTACTCGAAATCTCTCTCTCTTTTTTTTTTTTTTTTTTTTTGGAAGTATTTGCAACTCATACTTTAATCATTTAATGAAAACGTTGTCGAATTGACAACATATAAAATTCTTTATATTAAAATAAAATTGGTTCTTACTAATTAACCAGAATATTTCAAGTCAATTATTTTAGATTTTTTACCCTTAGAGTATAGGGACTAGGGAGTAATATTTAGTCTAATTTTAAACAACATATAATTATTACCGTGTCTTTTGCTAAAAGAGTAAAAGAAGATAATACGGGACAATTTTGTCATATTCTAGCTAGGGGGGTTAGTGAACAGAGTTTTCGACAAACTACTCGTGTTCGTGTTCGATAAGTGTTCATTTATGTTCGTTTGTTAAGGTAAACGAACCATTAACAAACAAAAATTAGAGCTCGGATAATAAACGAACAGAGCTTGAACAGTTGTATGCTCGTTTGTGTCCGTTTCATAATGTTCGTGAACAAGCTCGTTTGTGTTCGTTTATTAATGTTCGTGAACAAGCTCGTTTGTGTTCGTTTAATAATGTTCGTAAACAAGCTCGTTTAGTGTTCGTTTAATAATGTTCGCGAACATGAACGTAGATTATTTCTTGTTCACGAATGAATTGTGATCATGAACATGTGTAGGTGTTTGGTTAGTAAAGGTTCACGAACGTGCTCATGAATGTAAACCAACATGTTCGTTAACATTAACGAACACGTTCATGAACGTGTTCGCGAACGTGTTCGTTAACGTAAACGAACACGTTCGTGAACGTGTTTGCGAACGTTAACAAACACTAATGAACGCTTAGCAAACGAACACGAACAGGATTTTCAAAAACCTTAACAAACGAACACGAACACGACCACCCCAAAATTTTTAACAAACGAACACGAACAACCTTCGTTCGTTTATGTTCGGTTCGTTAACAGCCCTAATTCTAACTAAATCATTGATTGTAGCGATATTTGATGTAGTAAATACGTTGCGATTTTTCAAATACGATGTATCAAGTCGTGAGGTCAGATTATAGAGGGATCTTTTAATAATTTGCTTGTTGATTTAAGTTTTAGGCTCGGGTAATGACGTGAGGTCAGAGAGTCTTGAGCTAATGATATGGTAGGTGAAGATGCCTAAAAGTCTTTCTCTTACCATTTAATGCGATATTTATAGGGGGGGGGGGGGGGGTGAAGGGAGCACATGTCAGGGGATCGGAAGCTCTCTTGATTCCCCCACGTGTGCTAAGGTTCATAACGTCCTCGTTTCCGTTACGATCAGGTTGAATTAAAGAAATAAGGGAATAAAGAAGTAAGAGGCTCTCTAATTAAGTGAACTTGGTCGGACAAGCCGTCCCGACCTAAGATGGTTGGGGCGGGTCCTAAGGCGGGGCGAAGACTACTGCCAGCTAAGACTTTGCCCGGTTCTCAAACTCAAGTCGGATTGGTCAATTTTTGAGGTCTATTATGCAGGAATAGTTCCGCCTGGTGATTTGATTGGATACTGAGCAGATATGCAGTACGTATAGGCAAGTACACCCGGGGATATTCCCTATCAATAATTTTACCTATTTGTCTAGAATTTTTTTTAAAAAATACTTTTAGTACTTAACCTTTTTTTTTGTTTTTTGTTTTTTGTTTTTTGTTTTTTTTTTTTGTTTTTGTTTTTTCATTTTAAAAAATTTCTAAATATCTAAAATGACTACCATGCAACGAAGTGAATTTCATATATTTTTTAAAAGCGAGGACATTTTAAATTAAAGCTAAAAGATTGATTAAAAGTGAATTTTTTTAAAAATCAAATATTAAAAGTAAAAAATTAAAGTCAATAATAGTGATCAGAACTGATATCATATATGATTAAGAAATCAAAAGAAAAATAAATTCTTAAATGAATTGTATTAAAGTATAAATCATGAAGCTCTGAAGGACCATTGCATCAAAACCACACTTCCAAAAAAAAAAAGTAATTAAAAAATTATATTATATATTATGATAAATTAAAATTTGCCATGCATATATTTGTGTGAGTTGTCTAAGAATATGTGGTGGGTAGTGGTGCCATGCAAGCCAAGATAACAAGTTTGGTAAAATGAATTATTGAACAGATAGAAATTTTTTTTAAATAATTAAATAATAATAATAATAATAAATTATAATCAATTTCAATGATTAAAAATCATATTTGTTCACCACTCTCCCTCTCATAAATACATACCCCTTTTCTCCTTCACATCCCACCACCCTCCCCAAATTAAAAGCAAAAAAGAAAGTATATAATAAAAATACTTTTGGTTAGCTATGGCTAAGGACATTGAAGGCACGGCGGAGCATTCGGCCAAGGACTACCACGACCCGCCGCCGGCGCCGCTGATCGACTTCGATGAGCTGACAAAATGGTCTTTTTACAGGGCCGCCATCGCCGAGTTCATCGCCACCCTTCTCTTCCTTTACGTCACCGTCTTGACGGTCATCGGCTACAGCCACCAGACCGACTTGAAAGCCGGCGGCCAAGACTGCGGCGGCGTCGGCATCCTCGGCATCGCCTGGGCTTTTGGTGGCATGATCTTCATCCTCGTTTACTGCACCGCCGGCATCTCCGGTGAGTCATCTCCGTTCTCATTCATTTCACAATATTAACATTTTTTGGATCACGAGTAAATCTGGTGTTGTGATCATACCTAATAAAAGAGCACAAGGCCAGGAGATAAGTCCAACCTAGTTGATCGGTTCAAATCAAGAAGATCATCAATAGGTAGCTCCTGCTCGCCGGGAGTTGAACTTGTAACATTG